ATAACATTTACCACCACCAAAATAGCGATGAAAACTTGCACTTCAGGGAGATCAGTACTAAAACCTAAACACAATATTTCTGATCTCTGAGGGAGATGGATGGTTAAGAAGTATAAATAAAATAAAATGTTCCGCAGGCAGCCACGATAGAGAAGGCTCTTATTTTTGATCTCACCCGATGAACCTTCTTAGGAAAGGATATCTATAACATTCCCTGACTCCCCATTCTGGAAGGTCAGGTAGATGTAACAAGGAAAAGAGAATCCTTCAAATAATCTGGTCCTAAAACGTATAGGGCTTTAAAGGTGACAGCCAGCACATTGAATTGGATCCAGAAGCAGATAGACAGCCAACACAGCTCCTGCAGGAGAGATGACACATATGCACATCTAGGCCTGCAAAAAACAATTATCATTGCTGCATTTGAATAAATTGAAGCTTCTGAATACTTTTCAAGGGCGTCCCCTTGGAAGGGTCCAGGTGATACAAAAGAAGCTAAAAAGAGAAGAGTAGTCTACTTATATGAGTCTCCATTAAACTTCTGGGGTGTTTAAGCAAAATAAAGGATAAAATTGGGGATCAATAAGCCCCTAATGAACAGTGCCACCTGTTGATATAAAGCTCTTTCCATTTCTTTTTCAGATTCCTCACATGTCTTCTGAACACTGTCCTCTTCCCTTGTCTCTGTGACCTGTCAGCCAGGCTGGTTTGGATACAGGTTTAGCTCTCCTTCAGAACAGCATTAGATCTTTAACCATGAAGAAACACTAGTATGGGTGTTTTCTATCCAATAGAATTTGTATAAAACATATTTACCACTTTAAAACTGATTGAGACTACAATTTAGAATTGTACCTTGTTTATCATCAGTAACTGTATCCTGAATCAGGGCAGCTTTAACAGGTTTCTCATCAATTGAAAGCTGTTTATGGCAAAAAGGGTATCCATTTGTAAAGATTTTTTAAAAAGTAAAAGAAGGAAGACACAAATTTAAGTTGTCAGTCAGGTCATTCAAAAATGTACAGGCTGAGAGAAGCCAATAATCTGGGGAGAGATGTGGAAGAAAATACCTTTAGGGATAAATGAAAATTCCTTAATTATTTTTATAATTTTGTTTTGAAAGTAAACCAGGTTTTTCTAGGATAAGCTGGTACTTTTGTACAGCAAAAGAACCATACAATTGTATTGTGTTACACGCTGTATAATCTTATGGAAATACAGTACATGCTGTATAATCTTATGCAAGGTTTTCCAGAAGTATCCTACAGATGTCTAATATGTTTGCTGAGAATTGCAGTCTAGCATCATTCTGTTAACATTATTTTTATCAGTGTCTGCAATTTGTGAATGGTGCTGCATTATAATGGCAAATTAACACCTGACAAACACATGAGTACAATCTGAATATTTTATGAGCACTGTTCACAATACCTTCAAAACGCCAAACCATAACATTTTAGATAGTTAAAGTTCATCATGCCTCTTACTGGGAATACTACCATGAAGCTAATTCTTTTTGTTTGATTATAATAGAGAAGTATAATTTTATTGTGGCAATAAGAGGTACCCCACACCTATGTGAATTGCATTCACTTTCAACTGTATACAGTAAGATGCCTGCCTATCCACATGAACTGCTTAAAGTGTCCTTGCAAGAAAACATTCACAGCAAGCTTTCAATCTTTTAGTCCTCTGCAAGGCTTTGAAGACCTGGCTTTTCCTTCCTTCAAGCACTGGGAGAAGTCTAGAGAATCACACTTTAGAACTTTGATTTGGCACCAAGTTTTTTGATTTTAAAGTTTTTATAGTTTTAAAGTGATTTTATGTGTCTTTTGCTCTTTCATTGGGAGTCACCCAGAGTTGGTTGAAAGATAGGCAGCTACATAAATGTTTTAAATAAATATAAGAGGGTGTGGGAAGGGCGGGGGAGTAGAAAAACTGATCAGGAATCAATGACCCAGTTAAACCAAATTGTTTATTTTCACCACTAACCATATCTGAAAGATAGTTTAGCTAACATGCTGAGCTAATAGGATGGGATAAATAATGAGAAGGCAATCCAGATGGGTTATCTAAAATATTTCAACATCATGCAGTAATTTATACTGTGTCTGCCTTTTTCTTTGTCTTGCCTATGCAATGTAGTAGGTCAAGGGTACATGCAGTTCTGCTTTTGCTCAGGTCTCCTCAGCAAGCTGCCAATTCTTTGCTGGGAACCCAATGTACACTGTAGTAGTTTGCATGCTTAATAAATTTATGTTGTATTTTTGAAGTGATTTAAGTGAGAAAGGTTTAGCTATAATATTAATGACACAAAAGGCATGCAAGTGAATTGTTACATACTGACTAGATCAATAGTTTTAAAAAATAAATGGTCACTAACTGGTTGAACAGAAGTTGCCTCAAACAGAATCAGTGGCTCTGAGTTATTTGGATTTTCGCATACAGTTTCGAGCTGATTATATTAAAAAAAAAATAGAGGAGAAAATTATGAATATTCATCTCTGGTGAGAAAAGTACAGGAAGGTTTGTTTCTACTTCTAAAAATTCAGGAATAAATTAAATAATATTTTGATTATTTGTAACAATGAATCAATAACTCAAACAAAGTGTGCAAAATCATTTACTGTTTTTAGCTAAAGAAGGAAAAAATCAGGTAGGAGCTGACCAAAAATGATTCTTAGGAATGCACAGCTGACTCCCTGTCTTGATACAAGGTTTCATTCTCTTCATTCTCTTGCCAAGGATTCAGTATTTCTTAAAACAAAATTCTCCCATAATTTCTTCTACTTTGGCAACCTCCATAAGGCTTTCTTTTGGCTGACTCTGCTGGACTCAAACACAGCAAATTACACTTTGATTATAGCTGTGGCATCTAATAGCTGCACTATGATTACAGTGTTCACCTTCTCAGCCTTAAACCTCAGGTAATTGAATCTAGTCTTCTTTCTCTACTTTGTGTTTTTCTTTTTAAGAGGTGCATTGATTTTAGTGCTTACACAATTTACACTGATTTTTGGAAGGGTTTGAACTGCTACCCTCCAGCCAATCCTTCACCACCTCTGCAACAATTACCTTAGTAGTGAACGAAAAAAGTTGAGAAACTAGTGCTTTATAATTGGTCACCAACCCACTTAGATAAATGCACTAAAAAGCACACAGAGAGGAAAAGAAACTGCTAAAGGAAGTTATGACATGAAGACTGTTTATACACCATTGTTATAATTTAAAGTGTTTTAAAACAAGATGAGTTGTTCATATCTCAGTCCTACTAAAGTCTCGTGTTGATTGATTTACTGACAATGACTCTGAATAAGAATTCAGTACATATTCACCTTTAGGTTTAAAGGAAGCTATAAAAAAAAAGATGGTTAAGCGCCTCATAATTATCATTTTCTAGAGTTATTTTCTCATTGATTTCTACTTTAGTATATTCTGTAACCTAATGATAACAATTGGCCACTCTTCTACTTCATAATACAAGACTAGAGTTTTTTATTTTGTGATTATCATTTGAAAAAGATTCCCACATATTAAAAATATATTTTTAAAAAATTGAATGAACAAGTTATGGTAAGATGCAGCTTTTAGTTGATCTTGACATACCAAAAAAGCTAAGCAATTTACGGTAGTTAATGCTTGGAGGGGAAACTACAAAGAAATCCTAGGGCTGTAGGAGACTGATAAACTAAAATGAAAGAACTAGGGAGAAAGTAATAAAAAGATATGGATAGATAAGTTAATGCACTTTTCATTCATTCTTTGGGATGAAAATATGGGAAGTTTCTGATTATTCTCAGAATGTTGTAATTAAAAAGTATCTCTCAAAAAATAGGCAATATATTTTAAGACTATTTCATTTCCAGGCACACAAAACTGGTATAAATGGTATTAAATCTTTCCAAACTAACTTAGAAGTCCTGACTGGGTGGTTCACCACTATCTTTGTGTGATAGTGGTCTCTTTAAATATAAGAACAATACCCAAATAAGAAAAGAACCCATATAAAATATTTTCCATACCAGTATTTTAGTATCCAAAGATCACTATACTTATTTTTCATTGGGAAAGTAAGATTAATAGAAGAGCAGTAACCTCATTAGACCCATAAAAGCTACATCAGTTGCTATCATTTATTTATTTATTTATTTATTTGTCAACAAGTACAAGGAAACAAGTAACAGTATAGACATAGACATAGACACATGAAAAAAAATTGGCACAAATAAAAGGAAATAAATAAGCAAAACATAGGCATAAACACATAAAATGAGTACATATAAATGGGAACAGTAGGACAGGGATGGTAGGCGCGCTGGTGCGCTTATGCACACCCCCTTAGGGACCTCTTAAAAACATGAAAGCTCCACGGTAGACAGTTTAAGGTAAAAGGTATGGGGATTAGAGGATCAGGTAGAGTGTTCCAGTCATTTACTACTCTATTGCAGAAGTCATATTTCCTACAATCAAGATTAGAGCGAATTACATTGAGTTTGAGCAGAGGATTTGAGTACTCTTCTAGTAAAATATCTCTGGATATTATGGATTTTTTTTTTTTTTTTCAATAATTGTGACCTTAAAGAGAAATCCATTAATGGTTTCAATTTGTTATTCTATTGAGATGTAATGTACTATAAAGTGCATTGTAGGGTTATGGATATAAGATTAAAAGTAATGTCAGCACAATATAAAATAATCATATTGGAAGGATCCAGATGAACACCGTACGGCAAAAAGGCCCAGGTTCCAGCTTCTAGGTCATGAGTCAATAATTTTAAGGATTTCAGGACACAGACTTCATGAATATATATTAGCCAAGCTTTTTGGCTACATATAGGTTCGCTGTTAAGCGAGAATTATCACAGCGGTTACCAACAGACCAAACATTGATTACCCACAGTTTCAGAGCATTTTTCCTATAATTATTGCATAAAAACAGACTATGGTTAAAACACGGTTTTAATTAACTGAAAACCTATACACAAACACTGAAACTTTACCTGCGTGAAGATAGTCAGGTAAGAGCGTCTCTGGCAAGCTACCTGGCAAAAGATAACCATTCTTCCGAGCAACAACAAGGTGAAAGGCAGCACAGAACTCTGCTAATGTCAATGCTCCATCACAGTCAACATCACTAAGTTCCCTACAAATCAGATAATTATTATACAACCCTATTTTCGAGAACGAAAACCTGTTCGTTACACTACATTTTACTCATACAGGTATTAACTAATGTGATTTCTAATTGTAATACAAATAATTTTATTACAAATATAAATTACAATTATACTTTATAATAAAATATATTGCAATTGCAATAAAATTACAATTAAACTACTATGATTTTTAAAAATTACTTTATGTTTATTTGTATAACTAGGCAAGTTTAGAAATGTAACATCCAAAAAATGAGTATGAGTTAATTCTAATATACACGAAACTATCACTGTTTAAAAGAATCAGGATATGAATTCATAAACACAACTAGAAGTGAAGCTTATGATGTTAATTTTTCTGAATTACATTTATCTGAACTTGATTAAAACTTTTATACTTTTAGGCTCCCTAATATGCTCTTTAGAACATTTTTAGATTATAGTACTATTCACATTTTGTTAGGCCACTGAAAAGATAAAAGCATAAAATAAATATTAATTTACTCTCTATTTTGCTTGGTTCACAGTGTGAGCCATTGGTGAAGACATTTTCTGTTGCATTGGTTTGCATACAGACACAGGACCCCCCCCCCCCCGAGATAAAATAATATTATGATTTAGAAAATAGTACTTACCATATGTGTGAAAGCTCATGGATTGGCAGTTTAGATTTTGTAAAGAAATTCTTAGCCACAGAACCTGTTAAAAATTACGGCCAGAAAGCAGTAAAATAAATAATTCAGCAACAAATTTTCTACTGGTATTCTTCTTATATTTCTTTTAAAAAAATGAATCAGTTTACGGGTTATTTTGCTAGAACACTGTTTTTCTTATGTAACTTTAACAGTAATTACAATATTTCATCAGTATTTTATTTTTCAGAAAAAGATTTTGAGGCTTCTGAAAGACAGTATTTATCTGTTGTTATTTTTATTCAGTAAATTCAGAAATTCAGTATATTCAGAATTTCCAGACTATAGTTTAATGCTATCTGAAAATTAGTAGTGAGCAAGGTATGATTATCTAGCCTTTGCTGCTGTCTCTGAGTGTATCCACACACAGAAATCTTAGATGGAAAGAACATGTGTGTGTGTAAACATATATATCTATGTATATCTATGTATATATCCATGTTATAAGAATCCCCTAAGGTCTGAAAAAGTATTTAAAACAGTAAAATTAATAATGCAATAGAAATTAATTAAGAATTTCAATAATAAAACCTACAAAAATAGTAGAAGTTGGAATAAATAGAATGTCAAATATATATATTGAACTATCAGTGTATCATCTGGTATGAAATCATATCACTTTCAAGGCCCTATGAAATAGCTCTGTTTTGAACAGCTTTTGAAATGTTGACACTGTAGCTGTGCTAGTATGACTTCAGGAGAAAGCTGTTCCATAGAGTTTTTGTCATCCCAGAAAAGGACCTTCTCCTGTTATCCATTGACTGGACCTTACCTGGACAGAATACTTGGAACAATTTCATTACAGCCAAGAGAATTGGACATATTGTTTCTACTTGGAAATCTCACTCATTTTTTTGCCCCTGAATTCATTTAATAATTAGCATGAACCTACTCAGAAGACTTAATATATCTGAATATATTGCATTTGAATATATGGTTATTGTGAATGTCTATATTCTTATGTGCATCCAAAATATAAAGCCATCTCAATGATGAATGATAATACTCATAAGCGTATTACATAAATTTTTAGTTTACTATGAATATCGATTGCCCCTGACCTCTTCTAGGATTTTTCTTTATTTCCATGTTCATCTGACCGAACACTGGTAAGGTCTCATATTAAGACCTACCTGGTGGCAATAAAAGCGGCAAAGTGTAACTATTTTTCCGCTCTTATTGCGTCATCAGATAATCGCCCGGCCGCCCTGTTTAGGGTGACCCGCTCCCTGCTCCACCAGGAAGCGTGGAAGGACCCCTTGGAGGGTAGAGCCGAGGACTTTGTACAATATTTGTATGACAAAATCGCTCAGATTCGGGAAAATTTGGACTCTGACTGGGTAGATTCGGGAGGGAGGATGGAGGCAAGTCTTGAGAATATTATCTGGGAAGAGTTTGATTCTGTGACTCTGGAAAACGTGGACAAGATACTGGGCAGACTAAGCGCGGCCACATGTTTATTGGACCCGTGTCCCTCCTGGCTGGTGCTGGCCTCTCGGGAGGTTACACGAGGCTGGCTCCAGGGGATTATAAATGCTTCCTTGAGAGAGGGTGTCTTCCCTGCTGCCTTGAAGGAGGCGGTGGTGAGGCCTCTCCTCAAGAAGCCTTCTCTGGACCCAGCAGTGTTGGCTAATTACCGTCCAGTCTCCAACCTTCGCTTCATTGCGAAGGTTGTTGAGAGTGTGGTAGCGCGACAGCTTCCTCAGTACTTGGATGAATCGGCTTATCTAGATCCGTTCCAGTCGGGCTTCAGGCCTGGATACAGCACGGAAACGGCATTGGTCGCATTGGTAGATGATCTCTGGAGGGCCCGGGACAGGGGTTGCTCCTCTATCCTGGTCCTATTAGACCTCTCAGCAGCTTTTGATACCATCGACCATGGTATCATGCTGCACCGGTTGGAAGAGTTAGGGGTGGGAGGCACCGTGTTGCGGTGGTTCTCCTCCTTTCTATCTGATCGGTCGCAGTCTGTGTTGACAGGGGGGCAGAGGTCGACCCCAAGGCCCCTTGTATGTGGGGTGCCACAGGGGTCGGTTCTCTCACCCCTTCTGTTCAACATTTATGTGAAGCCGCTGGGTGAGATCATCCGTGGTTTTGGGGTGAAGTATCATCAGTATGCTGATGATACTCAGCTATACATCTCCACCCCGGACCACCCCAATGATGCCCTTAAAGTGATGTCCCAGTGCCTGGAGGCTGTACGGATCTGGATGGGGAGGAACAGACTCAGGCTCAACCCATCCAAGACCGAGTGGCTGTGGTTTCCGACGTCCCGATATAGTCAATTGGTGCCATCACTGACTATTGGGGATGAGTCATTGCCCCCCACGGAGAGGGTTCGCAACTTAGGCGTCCTCTTGGACTCACGGCTGTCTTTAGAAGAACACTTGACAGCTGTGGCCGGGAGGTCTTTTTATCAGGTTCGCCTGATTCGCCAGTTGCATCCCTTTCTGGATCGGGACTCGTTAAAAACGGTCACTCATGCCCTCGTCACTTCACGCCTGGACTACTGTAATGCTCTCTACATGGGGCTCCCCTTGAAGAGCACCCGGAGGCTCCAGCTGGTCCAGAATGCGGCCGCGCGGGTAGTTATGGGAGCAGCATGGCGCTCCCATGTGGCTCCCCTCCTGCGCGAGCTGCACTGGCTCCCTGTGGTCTTCCGGGTGCGCTTCAAGGTCTTAGTTACCACCTTTAGAGCACTCCATGGCTTAGGACCGGGGTACTTACGAGACCGCCTTCTGCCACCAATAGCCTCTCACCGCCCAGTACGCTCCCATAGAGAGGGGCTTCTCAGGGTGCCGTCAGCCAAACAATGTCGACTGGCGGCCCCCAGGGGGAGAGCCTTTTCTGTGGGGGCACCCACCATCTGGAACGAGCTCCTCCCAGGGATACAGAAGATTCCGGATCTGCGCACTTTCCGCCGTGCCCTCAAAACATTCCTGTTTCAGCAGGCCGGCCTGGCCTAACTTTCCCTTTATATTGCTTTTTGATTTTATTTTAAACTGGGATGTCTTGAATTATCTAGGACCAGAATGTTTAGTATATTTTAATTGGTTTTTTTTATTATTAACGTTTGTATTACATGTATTTTTATCGTTCGCTGTTCACCGCCCTGAGTCCCTTAGGAATAGGGCGGTATATAAATTTAATAAATAAAAATAAATAAATAATAAATGCTTAACAATTCTTTGCAATATATACCGTATATTTTGCTCCATAAGACACACCTGACCATAAGACGCACTCCCGTTTTCAACCTCCATGTGCTCCGTTTTTGCCTCCGCGTGCCCCATTTTTGGCCTCCATGCGTCCTTCGTGGCACGCAGAGGCCAAAAAGAGCCAACAGATGGGTGGGGCTTCGGCAATGTTTGTTCCATAAGACGCACAGACATTTCCACCCACTTTTGGGAGACAAAAAGTGTGTCTTATTGAGCAAAAAATATAGTAATTTTCTGATCTTAATCAAAGTAAAATCCTACAAAGGAGATGAAAATTAATTTTATCAAAATACTTAAATTCCAGGTGAACAGCAGTAATAAAATCTAAAGCAGGAAGATTTTAATTTAAAATGCGTAATTTTTATGAGCTACCTGATAAAATTGAAATTTCAATGAAACAGTTTTCATACATAGCATTTATTTTATAGAACTTACTGAAATGGCCAAGAATTTCTATTTAAACAAAGAGGACTGCAGCAAAGAGCATATTATTTCACAGAATAAAAGTCTATATACTGTCAGCACGAGGATAATGTCCTCCACGTCTCATAAGGGCCTGGTGGCTCAGCAGACTAAAAAGCATTGTGATTAACACCAGCTGTCTGCAATTACTGTAAATTCGAATCTCACCAGGCTCAAGGTTGACTCAGCCTTCCATCCTTTCTAAGGTAGGTAAAATGAGGACCCAGTTTGTGGGGGCAATAAGCTGACTTTATATAAATATACAAAAGTATGAAGGCTATTGCTTAATGCATTGTAAGCTGCCCTGAGTCTCTGGAGAAGGGCGGCATATAAATCAAATTTAAAAAAAATAAAAAAAATCACATTACTATTGAAGAGGTACTACAAAGATCAAATTTAGAACCTATCAAGAACTGTGAATGAAGATTCAATGTGGCTTGTTGACCATATCTTACATATATCTAAAGACTGGCATCCAAAAATTGCACTAAATTGGATGCCTTCTGGAAGAAACAGAAAACGAGCTGCACCTCAGAAAACCTAGCAACAAACCCTTACGGAAGATTTTAAGATTATTAATGTCCCTTGGGATGATGCCAAAGATACTGCAAATGATTGAAACTTCTGGAAAACACTTACTGCCCAATGTACTCTGTATAGGAACTAATGAGGATGACTGTCGCCCAGCAGTGAAATCCAACCGGTTCTACCCGGCTCGCCGAACCAGTAGCACCAGTGGTGGGAGGCTCCGCCCACCCACCGGGACCCACCGTCCCGTTTTTTTACCCTCTGCGCATGCGCAGAAGATTCATGCATATGCATAGCGCACACATGCTCCTGCGCACTTCAGTTCCCAAACCAGTAGCAAAAGTAAGTGGATTTCACCGCTGCTGTCACCAATGTAGAAGGTTAGTTCATAAACTGTTTAGGTATAGGCATAATATTAATTGGAACTAGTTAAAAACGGAAGCATTCTGCTTTCTTTCTTTCTATCTTGACATTAAAAGTATTACATGATTTTATTATATTATAGTTTGGTCTAATTAAAATTGGGAAAATACAATTTGAGTACTAGTATCAAAGCATGTTTTTCAATTCTGTTTTGAAGGAAGGTTCACCATTAAAAAAGTTTATTTTCTAATTAAGAAGCAATAGCTGTAATAACTTGGAAATGCATCGTTATTTTATTTATATTTTCCTACAACGAATCAGAGTTCATCGCACATTCAGCTAGATGTTTAGACTGGATCGGTATTTTTATCCACCTACTGAGTCCTTCCCAAGATGTTATTGTCTGATGATGTTAAAAGTATTGTTGCACAATTAA